TTCACACACACGTGTTGCTAGTTGCAGAAACTCTCTGCAGCTGCCAAAACCACACCCCTTTGAGGCAAATCGTAGTCACCTGCTGTGAAGTAAACCCAAGTGCCCACACCTGGGATTAAAATGAAAACATTGCCATAGCGCGTCCATGTTTTTTAAAGAAGCCAAAATCACAAAATTCTCATTACAGCCACCATTTCAAGTGCAGTTGGATACAAGCTACCCAAGGTTGGTGGAGAATCCATTGATAAAGGGCACCACAGTCCTCAGGAAGAGCAACTTCACGCTAGCTGCCAGCAGCAGGTGCAGGGAACCTTGGATCCCTTGCCCGTCTGGCCAGTCTGCACCAGGTTCAGAGGATCCCACGACTCCTGTGTTCAGTAGTAGTTTAGAATCACATTTAAGTCAGGATTGCACTATATTTGTATTTAGAGTTTTTCAAAATGGAGAACACAACTGAATAGAAGCCAAATGTAGGATGGGGTCGGGGGCGGGGGTACCAAATGTAGAACTTCTGTACTCTTTCCTGGATGTGTCATTTCTCCTCGAACAACAACGTGTTCTCAAACTATGAAGTGCGGCTAAGATTTGGTGTTCAGAACCATTACTGAGGTTTCCTTAGGTAGACATGCCTGAGCCATGATTATACTCAAACTCTCGCCCACTCTACAGTGCATAGGTCAGGAGCTCAGTGTCACACGAGAGAGAAGAAAGTTACATAATTTAGCATAACCTAATAGCCAGCCGACTCTCCATTACATAAGTCTTGTGTATGTTTCTTTAAGTCAGGGCTGGGTCTGGCTGTGTGAAACAAAACTCAGTAAGTGCAATAATAGCTTTCATTGTACAAAGGAGAATGATCTAGGGCTAAAATATTGGTTCAAGGATCATCAGGGACTCACAGTCCCTCTATCATTTTCCCACCATCGTATACATGACTTCCATCTATCCTCGAATAACTTTATGCAACAAGATACCTGCAAAACTTCCAGGAAGAAAAAGTGTAAGACAGCAACAAAGTTGCTCAATTCCTTTCAAGAAATTTGCAACAATGCCTTACAAAATGCCCCGGCCTGATGTCTCATAGGCAGGTTAGATTTTATGGGCTGTTGTAAAGAAGGGATAGGAAGGAAACTTTCATCGCCATTGTTATCTGGCACGCTCTGACAGAGGAAGAAGGCAAGAGGGTGTAGCTGAGAAAGTCGTCTTTCTATTTCTATTGTAAAAACCGTTGCAGAGGTAGAGTGCATCATGAAGATGAAAATGTGGTGTCTGAGAGCTAGTGTAAGAGCTTAATGAACAGGGAGGATGTTCGAAGCCAGGCATGGCAGTGCATGCCTGTGGCCCCAGCCCTTGGGAGGCTGAGATAGGAAGGCTCTTGAGAGCTTGAGGCCAGCCGGGGATACAGAGCAGAACCCCATCTCAGCAACAGCAAAAGGAGTGCTTCTCAGTGATTTAGAAAACATGGACTTGAAACATATTGCTGTGAAAACATACTGCCAGTTCCAACCGTACGTATGAATAAGCTGGGCCTGGTGGCACACACCTTTAATCCCAGTACGTGGGAGGCAGAAGCTAGTGGATCTCTGTGTTGGAGGCCAGCCTGGTCTACAGCGTGAGTTCCAGGACTGCTAGGGAGACACAGAGAAACCATGTCTCAAAAATAAAATAAAATAAAATAAAATAAAATCTTGCTTTAAAGTATCTTACATATATTTCAGAATTAGTTACTGTAAATCAGTTTTTCATTCTGTGTCTGTGTAATCATGTATTGTGTGCTGATGAATAAACCTGGGGCTTTGCACATACTAGCAACATGCTCTGCCACTGAACTACACCTCTTGTTCAAGCCCAGCTGTTCATCATTGTTGACGTCGTTTTGAATGCGGGAAATTGCTCTTACTCTCACATTTCACCTATTGCTCAAAAGAGAATGCCTCCATATACAGCCTGAGGAGTCAGACACATCTAGGCAGGGTCAGGGGGAGTGGAAGGTGATTGGACTTGGGCATGACATAGTAGCAAAACTGAAACTCTAAAACTGAAAAAAAAAAAAAAAAAAAAATGGAAGACAAAAACCAAAACAACAGATTAGTAACAAGTTAAAAAGCCTTAGTAACACCTGGAAGTTACTAAGCACAACTGAAGTTCCGGTGGTCATCCCAGGGATGCGTTTTGGCCACAGACCCACCCCAACTCCTCAGGAGCATCTTGTGTGGACATAAGAGCAGTGAGCCTCCTGGGTGCGGGTGTTGCCCAACAGGCCCACCTCGCTCAGAACTGCCCCTTTTCATTCACACCTTTCACATATCCCGTCTCACACAAGTATGTGGAGCCATAGTGAGAAGTGGCTTAGAAGCATAGCTGAGGAGCTGTGACCTACAGATAGTCATTATGGGGGCCTGGACTGGAACTATGTGCAAAACCACTAATTATGCAAATTTATATGCATTCACTTACTATTTTTTTTTAAGAACATAGCATATATGAAGTACTATGCTTCTCTTTTCTGTGAGGATAAAAATAGGTCTCACTGTGTGTGTGTGGGCTGCAAGGCGGGTGGGGGAGGCCTTCCTGATTAAAGCATCTGATAGTGGATGGCTGTTAGGGAAAGAAGCAGAAATTATAAAGCCTTATCACACATAAAGGAACTTCAAATATTTCAGAGAAAAGAGTGAAGAAAGATTGCCAGAGGTTTATTTAGAGATTTTATATATTTTATTTTATGTATATGAGTGTTTTATCTGCACATACCTCTGTGTACCAAATCAATACAGAGGCCAGAAGAAGGTGTCCGATCCTTGGGAACCGGAATCACACCTTTTGCTGGCCACCACTGAAAGGATGGGTATCAGCCCAGGACACCCCAAGATCAAGTTCTCAGCCAGCACAAAGGAGATTTATTTGTCCCAGAGGGACAGATGTCAGGAACTAAGGGACAAAGACAGAGGAGAAGGGGGAGGGAGCAAGGGAGAGGAGGAAAGGGCATTTGCCCTGGAGCTGGGGACAAAGGACTGCCTCTGGATAGAGAGGAGACAGATGAGGCCGGTAAACAAATGGTGGTTTATAAAGGCACAAGGGGTTTAATTGGACAGGTTAATTAGGGGAGCTGAAGGGGCTTTGATTGTAGGACTTCAATACCTTGCTAGTCAGCCTCAGGAGAAGGAAGTGGCCAAATAAGGGAACAGACCTTGGGGGCTAGGTAATCTAGGAATGTGATCTAACGGTTTTTAGCAAGGGAGAGGGGATGGGGAGAAAGGCAAGGCCTGAGCTTGCCATGCTTGAGCTGGCCAAAGCCCCCTCACCTGTGTGGGTACTGGGAGGAGAACCTGGGTACTCTGGAAGAACAGCCAGTACTCTGAACCACTGAGCCGGCTCTTGGATGCCCAGAGCTTTAAAGATAGCTTTGTCGGACTGCTAATGTGTGAGTGCCGGACAGAGAACTATCATTATTATCATAAAGTGAGCCACCAGCCGAGGCCAGGAGAGGGAACCACTGGCGTGTCTTGGAGGTAGAACACATGAAGTAATTGCTTTTTGTTTCCATTTTTTTCAGTTTTGGCTGTTTGAGACAGGCTTTCACACTGTAGCCCAGGTTAGCCCAAGGCTATCATTATGTAGCCCAAGCTGGAAGTCTCGCTCTGCCAAGGCAGGGAGGTGGCCAACTTGGTGGCCCATTTTCTGCCCAGATCGGCTGCTGCCTACAGGCTTTATCTCCACTGCAGACAAAGATAGCGTTGCCTTCCCAATTAAGCTTTCCAAATCCATTTGCAGACAGTATCTGAACTACCCGTGGAGGGGTACAAGCCTTTTACTCCAGGATTAGAGCTAACGGCTTAAAATAGAAAACGCTGCCGATTGAGACTTAACAGGACCATTTACTCCTGCTCAGTATACTCAGACCCAGGACGTATCGGCACATCCTTCCTGGTTTTATTTCGACTGGAGCTCAGGGGAGTCTAAGATCCTTTGTTCTAGATTTAGAAAACCCCAGGCTTTGTTTCTTTTTCTTATCGTGCTTTATAAAACCTATATATTTAAAGTAATTAGGTGAAATCCTTGTTACGGATATAGCCCCTTTTTAGAAGAGGGCCTTGCCTGGGCTACCCTTCCCTCTCTTTTATTGCCATTTGGTATGACTATTTAACTTTTAAAAAATGATTTGCAGCCCGACCCTGCTATGCCAACAGAAATTCCTCTCTAGGTCTAGAATTGTATCACTTTATTCGTACTGTACCGAGGGACCTGACTGAAACAGCCGAAGGATGAATCTGGGCTCTCCGGTCCAGGGTACTCCGGCTCCTCAGGGTCGCGAGGCCTGTTGAGTGATGTTTGAGCGGGTTGTGGCACCTTCAGGCCCTGGCTCCGATAGCAGGCCAGTGGGAGCGGCTACGATTACACCCGGCCCCCTTCAGGCCCAGCTGGGGGCTCTCTAGCTGGCCTGGGCTGGGTCCCACATCAGCCCTGTGAACCAGGGAGGGAGATCACCGTCCTGAACCAAGCCACCCAGCTGGGGCTAAATTTCTTCTAAGTTTTGAAGATTCTGAAAACTTCGGTAGGCCCTGGGAAGAAGAGTCCGGAGTTCAGCGGAGTATCCTAAAATATTCCTGGGCTGTCTTCTGCCTTTGCAGCGACTTTATGGAGGACTTGGCTTAGCTCACCGTTTTTAGTAATTAGTAATTGTTTAAGTCTGGAAACTTAGTTCAGTTACTGCCTTACTTTTTTTGCATGCATTTTGCAGAGCATGCGGCGAAACTGATAAGAATAGATATAAAACCTGGGATACTCGCAGCGCAGCGAAAGGATACAGGTAAAGAGGGGACAGAAACAAAGCGGCTCGGGGTCCGAGCGCGCTCCCCGAGGAGGTAACCGGAAACTACATTTCCCAGAGTGCCGCGCGCCGGGCCGCCCCCGTCCTGCCCCGCCCCGGCGGCTCTGGGGCGCGCTCCGCGGGGCCGGGCACGGGCGGCTGGGCACGGGCGGCCGGGCGCGTCCGCGGGGTGTCCGAGCGGAGCTGGCGCGGCGCCGGCGGAGCGGGTGTGGCGGCTCGGCCTGCGCGGCGGGCGCGGACAGCGAGGTAACCGCCGCGTCGCTCCGCGCGCGGGACTCGGCCGGGCGACGCCGGCGCCGGCCCCCCGGGAACCGAGGGGTCCCCGGGCGGGCCTCGCGGGCGCAGGTGCTCGGGTCCGGGGCGGGCGGCCTGCGGGGTGTCCCCTCCGCGGGGCTCCGGCTGTCCGCGCGGTGCGGGCTGAGCGCGCAGCTAGCTCCAGGGAGGGTCCCCGGTTTGTGGACACAGTTCGGGGTTCCTCGCCGCCTCCCGGGCTTGCACGGTCCTGACGTTCCGGTTTGGGAAGCTTGTTACGTGGGCTTTCCTCGGGGCAGCGTTTAGTAGCACGCTTTCCGTGGAGATCCTCGCAGTTCTGAGTCTTTCTGTTAACCTGCTTTCACTGCCTACCTTTGCATTTTTGCTTCTTACCCTTCAGGTATGGTTAGCGTAGGAGGGTACTTGGGCAGAGGTCTTACTTAGAACCTGGCTTGCCACAGTAATTACCCTGCCAGGTGTACGTGGGCTGTCGTTGCCTTTCTTTAATACTGTTTTTTTCTCTTACATAACTGTTTTCAACCTCGTTTCTCCGTCTCCCGTGAGCCCTGCCCTGCTGAGGGCCGGGTGGTAGCCGCTTGGCCGAGCAGAGACCCTCTGCTAAGGCCACCGGAGCAAGTGCACGCAGGTAGCTTTGCCATTCCTTAGCTGTTGCTTTTATGCCTGCTCCCTCCTGGCACCTCTTTGGTTTGTCAGTCAAACTGACTGACCTACTTAAAACTTTGGTCAGGTTGCCTTGAACATACCCAATAGTAGGAACACGAATGTTAAAAGAAATCACGAGATTGCTATACTCAGCTGTATGCGCTTGGATCCATATTCGTTCTTATATTCTCCCCCGCCCCAGGGGCCCTATGCGTGCTCAGAGAACACGCTACCACCGAATACATTCCCAGTCCGAAGTTTTACATTAAAACTACTCTTTCAGCGTTTGATACTACCAATGCCGTTGATTTGTAACTTTATATTTTCCTTGATAATTCCAAATCCTAATTTTAAAATCACAGCGAGTAATTAAGCAGAGTGTATGATTTCCCTGTCCCTACAGAAACACAGCCTCCCCGTGGCTAAGTCCCTCGTGGGACCAGAACCTATATTGAGGTTTCATTATCTCTCAGAAAATCGTCCTTTATTTACGGTAGGATTCAAATCGCGTCAGGAGTTGAGGCAGTAACGCAGTTAATCGGGCGCTTGCTAGCCTTGGGATCATGTCCAGCGCTGTGCAAACTGGGCATGGGGGTGCACACCTGTGATCCCAGTCCCTGGAGACAGGCAGGAGTTCACGGTGATCCTCAGCCCCATGTGAGTTTGCAGCAGCCAGGCCGTATGAGACCCTGTCTCTAAACAACAGCAGTCTATCCCTCTGCCTTCTGTTCTGAGGAAGATAGAACAGTGGCCTGAGCTCACGGCTGCAATTAGTTCTCGGTTAAATTCCCTGCTCTGCACTCATTGGCTGTTCAATCATGGCAAGTTGTTATCTGAACCTGTTTCCTTCGCTGTGGAAGAGGGATAAAAATACTGCCTGCCTCTGTCTTCCTGGAATTGTGAGGATTAATTGTTATTGGATGTGGGGTCATTTTATGCAAGCCCTGGACACGTGCTGTGTTTAAAGTGCTCCAGCACTGTTTGCTGCCCAGTGGCCAGCGCTTTGTGACACCTTTGTTTTGTCTCTTGGAAAGGTTGGTTGTACACCGGTTTTATTACGTGACTGCATCTGTGCTTTATTATTTGCTTCTGATTTATTTAATTGGTCCCTGTAAGTTAGAGGCGGAATTATGAAGGATTGGGGATGCCTTGGGAACTCCCTGCGCCTCTGTTATTCTTAATCCAAATCTGTAGCATGCCTACACACACACAAGTAATCTCCCTGGAGTCTGAGAATTGTGAATGTATTTGTATTTTCTGGAGAGTAGCTCTCTCTGCCACTCTCTGAATCTCTTTCTCAGATTCCAGCTGTAGTTGTTCCCAGACTTTCTTTTCTAGAAAACCTGCAGATTTTTTTTTTTTTTTTAATGGGAGTGGGGTGGTAGAGTGTGGAAAGGAGAAAATGGGATGTTTGAGGAGAGCACTCCCCTTCCCTGTAGAAGTGGAAGGCGATGTTCACCTTCATACACGCTTCCTTCTGGAGGCAAGGCCGCAATTGAGCGTTAGCGTTAGTCTATTGACGTAATGGTGGACAGGCTGTCATTATCAACCGTCTGTTCCTACCCTGCCCGCCAGCTTGGGCGGGCATTAGACAGTCCAGTACTATATTACAGCCCAGCATGTTTGAATATTACTTTAAGTGCTAAAAGATAACTTGATTTATTTTAAAATTTGACATTCTTGTTCCCAGTAGAATACAAAAATGCTAAGAAAATTATTTTATCTTTCAAAGTAGATATTTATGCAGCATACTTGTAACTATGTAATGTTTTTGTATGTCAAAAAATGAAAGTTTTATTAAATCCTAATTGATGATTATTTTGACATTCAGTATTGTTGGCTTGGAAAGAACACACCTTGTGTGTTTTACAGAAAATTTTAACTGTCTTATATAGCTCTATTACTATGTTGTAGTTTGTTTTTAATTTGTTACAGGTTAACTTACCCTCTTGAACTGTAGCATCAGTGTGTCAGTTATTATAGTAGGGTTTAGAAGGGACTCCGCTAGGTGCACCTTCGCCCTGTGCAGCATCGCAGGGCTGGGCTGTAAGGCTCTACAGTGGGAAGCCCTACTCCACTTCCGGGTGAGTCATGGCAGCATTCCCAGTGCATGGAGGGGGAGTGTGAGGGTCGGGGTGCTGTCGGACCTACCACTGATGCTCTCACAGAGTAGTTAGTATCTTTTTCCTTGACTGTTTCCCCTGTGATATCGGGCGGTATTATTTTTTATTGGAAATCCGAATGGCTTACAAAGTTGAAGGTTCCTAATCTCAATCCTCGGGAATCTGGAGCAAAGAGCAGCACTGTGGCTCGGCAGACCTGCTTCTCATAGGTGCAATCTGAGAGCAGGTGTCACTGAGAGAGCAAAGCAACGCGGTGTTTGTTGGGGGGGGGGGCTTCTTAGCTGTGAGATCACCCACGTCATCTTAACAAAGAGTTATTTACTTCAGCTGGGAGAGTTTGAGTTAAACCAGCTGTATGTGAAGAACAAGTGGTAACCATTTTTGAAAAACACCAGACTAATGGGACCACTGCTGCTTTAAGTCAGCGATTTTGGAACTCTAAGAAGCTGGAGAATATTCGCTGTGTGGAGAGAACATTAGTAATACTGTTGGTGCTCAATGGGACATGTCCAGGCGCTGCCACGGAGTTCGGGCCAAGGCCAGATTGGACAGTGGTGAGACTTGGGCTTTGTGGTCAGGGTTATCCATGTTGACTCCTGGGCATTCCTGCCCCAACCTGTGTGGTGGTGGGTGGGCTTTACTACCTTCTCAGAGCCTCTTTAGCCACTACAGTTAGTACTAGTGCCTGTCTGGATGGCATTGCGATGAATACATATGAAGTAGTTAGGTCACACAGCTAGTGTGTGTGTGTGTGTGTGTGTGTGTGTGTGTGTGTGTGTGTATAAGAAAAGAACAACAGAGAGGTAAGTCTTTATCTTTTGCTTGGAGGGTTCTCAGTATTTGCATCATAGTATAAACCATTATAAAATATACTTTATTTCTTTGCTGTAAAAAAATATTAACTGGAAAATTGTGTTCCTAGACAAAAACCTCTGGGCCAATACTTTATCAAAGTAAAAAAAATCATTTATTAGATGCCTACTGTATACTAAATCCAAAGCTAAATACTTTATATTGTGTCAGCTCTTCTGAATTTTGCAACTGCCTTAAAGGAAAGCCCAAGTTCAGAGTCATTTTGTGTGACTCAGCCAAGCCTTCACAGGTAGTAGAGAATCCCAGACTGTCTGACTCCAAGTCTCTGCTATGAGCCAGGAGTTTATGTACCTTGTGTTAGAACTATGTTATGGCTAACATAGTTCTCCACAAAAGATGCAAGGCAACAGCTTTCTGGAACAGTGTGGGAGTTAAAACTAGAACCCACTAACTGAAACTCAGGGTTGCGCTGGTAACAGCCTGAAGACTAAAGCCAAGCTGACACGCGCCCCTTTACGCCTGCACTGGCCACGCTGAAGAGCCGTCCTGGAGACCAGAGAGCCCACAGAGCCTGAACTAATTCCTGCGTGGCCGCGAGACCCCAAGGATTGCTGGCTCACAGGCTAGAGCAGTCCTCCTTTACGAATGAGGGCAACTCAGGAGAGCATGTAACACCCCAGGAATTACCCCCACTGCCAGCTTACCACCAAAGATGTGATCGCTGTACACGGATTTTAAAGTATGAAACGACCCACTTAAAATACCAGCTGGAGTAGTGATATTTAGTCATTCTCCTGTCTTAGAGTTACTTTGAAGTGCTTTGGGAGTATGGTTTGTATGACCTATGCCTAAAGTTCTGTGGACTGTTTGAGATTCCTCTACATAGTTCTCCATAGCAAACAGCGCTTGGAGTCAGTTCATTATGCAAGTCCAAAACGGCAATTGTATAAATGATCACATTTTTTATTTTAAAATAGAGCTTGTACAGTCTGTACTTAAGTTTAAAGCTGTGAGTGTGTGTCATCAGATCCGGCGTGGAGTGACAGTGAGGACAGGAGCGGGACAAGAGGCTTTATTTAGTAAGAACTGTTTGACGATGGGAGTTAATGAGAGAGGCAGGACCAGCAATGGGGAAAAGCAGGACGCAGAATGTCTGAGACTTGCCAGTGGGGGCCTTGAGGACAGAGAGGCCGAGACAGCCCCGTCTCACCATCCGCTAGGGCTGCCTCTCCTGTGCTAGCCTGTACGCCTCTGTTCTTGCCTTGACCTGTTACTGCTGTTTGTATCTCTCTGGATGACCAAGCTCCTCAGAAGCAGGCATTACTGCATGTCTGGATCCTTCACATTTTCGGGTTTATCTTAGTTTTTAAATAAGATTACTTTGGGCATTCTTTT